TGCCATGCTCGATTGCAAGGGCCACAGGTCTCATAGCAAACTCAGCTATAGGTGGCAGGAATAACAGTGATTATCTATGTGTCAGAATAATAATACAGTGATGTAGATACCGTACAATAATTTGGAATTATTTGAACAACTGGACCAAAAGAATGGTGATTAGTGGATGTATGTCACCCCGGAGGGTAGTCAAGGACAGAGGACTGTCCCAGGGCTCTGTCCTTGGCTTTGTTCTTATATTTTTATCAATGTAATCTATTTGTTGAACCTATGACTCTGACATGATAGGCCCAGGTAGAATTTTGGGGGCTCTGCCATATACAATCTCATTGGCCTGGGCCCAGAGAAGCTCTGGAGACATCAGTCCCTGGCTCACGTTTTCCACAAAATCTCTCTGCTTTTGGCCCCACCTATTGAAACTCTGAGAATTTTAGTATCTGGTTTATTTTGCTTATCACCCAAAGAACCTTCAGTTATCTTTGGAGCACTCAAGGCTAACAAATATTAAATACAAGACAGCTTTTATTTGACCTGACAGAAAGCACAGAACAGGCTCGGTGACCAAGCTCCTCAATCCTTAGGAAAACTTTCCATCCTTTTCTGGAGGGCTTCTATCAACCCTCCACCTCTGGTAGTTCCCATCTTCCTCTAGGACCTCACCATCCATCACTCGGGACACAAAAGGATAGGTCTGGGTTACTCCTTGGGCCCCTGCTATATCCATAAAAGTACAGGATCAGAGATTTGGAGCTGGAAGAAGCTCGGAGATCATCTAGTTCAAACCTCTACTTTTATTCAGGAGGGAACAGAGGCCCAGAGAGGTTAAAGATTTGACCGAGGTCACAAATAATATGTGGCAGAGATTTGAACCTAGGTCCGTTGATTCTAAATCCATTATGCCATGTTGCATTCTTCTTCCCCTCAGAGATGTGCAGATGGTGCAGCCTACAGGCCTCTATCTAGGTCTAAAAGAACCTGGCCATCTCTATCTTCTCTCTTGCCTTCTGTCATTCAGGTTCCAAATCTTTTCCTTCTCTCATCAAGGTTTTGAACCATTTGCCTCTTGTTCTCACTGAGGTGCCATCTCTCTTGGCTCTGACCATCTTTTCTTTCTGTTTCTATTTTTGCTTCTTTCTCTGGTGCCTTACCTTGCTCCTCTTTGCCTATTACATTGAATTCATCTTTTAAAAGCCAACTTCACCTCCACTTTCTCTGGAAGACCTTCCCTGATTTTCTTTTAAACTTCACATAACACTTTGTTTTAAATGCACTTCTAGAGAAACTATGCTGTTATTTATTGGTGGGGGGAGAGTTGTGGGGAAGGAAGGGAAAGAAAGGAGAAAGAATAAGATCACCAGCCTTTGTAGTCTTCTTCAACTAGTTCCTCTCTTGTCATTGACATAGAACAAAGGAATATTGTGGAGGAGGATTAAAAGTGGTTTCCTTACCAGTTTCATTCAGCACTTTTTTTTTCCAGTTTGAATAAATAGAGCTCTGAGAATATTTGCCTAGCTAAGTGGTAATAAAATGACATAAGACTTCAAGGGATCTCAGACCAAAAAACAGATGATATTTAGACTGAGGGACCCAGAGGACACAGCAGAAAAAAATTATTCAAAGAAGAGCTCAAAGAGCAGATGTTATCTTTTTTTTCACAGTGTTATCTTTATTATGTATACTAATAAAAACAAGCTATGCGTAGTAGAGATTCATAGTGTCATCTCCAATCTTCTTTTATTTTTAATGAGTAATTTAGTCACTTTATTTGCATAATTTCAAATTGATATCCAGAACAGCTGGAGCACCTTCCAGTTTCAACAATAGTACAACAATGTGCCTTTCTTTCCACAGCACCACCATCACTGACTTTTCTTAGATTTTGGTCATCTTTGCCAATTTGGATTGTATAAAACCTGAGAGCTTTAATTTGTATTTCTCTAACTATTGTCAGAAGCAGAGTAGCTAGAGTGCCAGCCTCAGAGCCAGAAAGACCTGGGTTCCAGTCTTGTCTGGAACCTAATGACTATTTGGCTCTGAGGAAGTCACCTAACCAATTAGGCAAATGTTATCTTGGCCTGGGCATCTGTTATCTTTTGTGAACAATCTGAATTAAGGGAAGAGCTTCATTGCCATTAACTGAGAGGATTTCATAGACATCAGCTGAAATATTTCATCACTATTGACTGAGAGAGCTCATTAAAAAGAACTGTAGCCTCCTCTACCCTTTCAGGAGAGACTCATTAACCACAGCCCCTGGGAGGTAGCACCTCACCTGAAGACCATCACAGAAGCACAGTGTTTGTGTGTCGGGGGTGGAGTAAGGCTGAAAAAGTTGTGGTCCTCCTTTACAGGGAGAGGCTTACTAATCATGGCATTCCTGATAGATGGTGAATAGGCCATTAGGTAACTCTGAAGGTAACTGGATAAAGACTGATTGGAACAGAAAACTGGTGTCCACTGTGGAGCAACAGAAAATGATACCCAATAGGGAGCAGACATAGCAGAGAGTATTCTTTTGGTGATGTCACCAGAAGACATCAATGACTTTGCAGTGTTAAAGGCTTGTTTCTCTTCTCTGTCTGTGTTCCCTAGCCATATATGTTTTCTTCATGTGTGCCCCTCCACATAAGTACCTTGGTTGTATATGTTCTCCATGTGTATAAGGCCATAAATGAACCTATGTAAACCTACTTTTCCAGCGAAAAGCCTATATATAAGGAAAAGCAAGTTTTAGATTTACTGGGGAATTTTCTGGTATTCTGTTATTACTATGCCATTGCAATAACCATTTTCTGTGAACTAAATTTGTTCTTCAGCTGAATGGTAAGAGTAAACACATAGGTGGGGGTTTGGAGAGGATTTGAATTCACAATGTCCATCCTGAAGTCATTGGTCCTCTTTGAGAATGAACACCAATCTGGATTCATAATGTCTAGAATCTGGGGTAGTTTTCTGGAGGCTCTGGGTATTACATAGTTAGAAGATAGGGATTGGACCTGTGATTTCACTGGTAAAGGAACTCACTGGTGAGGGAACTCCCTCTACTAATGTAGATTGACACTTTCTTTTCAACCTAGAATTTTAAAGAATTATCTAGGGCACTGAAGGCATGGTTGGCCAAGAATCACACAGCCACACATGTCAGAGGAGGGACTTGAACAAAGGTCTTCCTGAGTCTGAGGTCTGCACACCATGGTACATGTAATATGGGTATTGTGTGTGTGTGTGTATGTATGTGTATGTGTATGTGTGTGTGCGTGTGTATCCCTTATCCCCCTACTTGATTCTGAGCTCCACAAGAACAAGGACTTTGACATAGCTCATGTTAGCTTCTCCTCCAGGACTCCTATCATATTACTCTTTATTCAGTATATAATTAATATTTGCTATTTTTGCTTTTTCCTGCATTGATAGAAACATAATGTCTAGAACAAAAGCAGTCATAGTCCTGCCCTGGTCAGACCAATTTGTGTTCAATTCTGGGCATCACATTATCATAATAATTATTATATTTAGATAGCTCTTGTTATGTGACTAGCACTGTGCTAAGCACTTTTTACAAATATTATCCCATTTGGTCCTCACAACAATTCTGGGAGATAGGTGCTATTATTACCCTCATTTTACAGATGGGGAAACTGAGGCAAATAGTGATTAAAGTGATTTGCTCAGAGTCACACAGCTAGTAAGTATCTGAGGCCAGATTTTAAAAGGAGCATTGACAAGTTGAAACTCACCCAGAGTGGGGCAACCAGGATGAAAAGAGAACTTTGAACTCATGTGAAAGGAGGATCCTTTGAAAGAACAGCCTCAAGAATAAATGAATTTGGGTGGAGGGGAGGACAGAATGAAGAAGGATGGTAGAATGGAAAGAATACTTTCTAAACTCTGAAGACTTGGGTTCAAATCCTTCTGATGCTTTCTACCTGTGTGCAAACCCTTTAACCTCTCTGGGCCTCAGTTCCCTCATATATAAAATGGAACCCATGTTCTCTGACTTCAAATACAGTGCTCAACACCAGTAGGGTCAAACTTAAAGAGAAATGAGAACCACTAATCCATGCATAAGAGTCCCTGAGGGCCATATATTGATTTAGTTTTAAAATGTAATGTTATCTATGCTTTTTTGTATTTTTATATATTTTTGTTAAATATTTCCCAATTACATTTTAATTTGATCTGGATTGCACTTAGGAATGTCATGGGCCTGGGGTTTGATATCTCTGCTCTGTACAATATAGGGGGTGTTTTTAAAGAATCTTTCTGTGGTATTCCACTGGAACTATGGTTGTCCTGAGCAGGCACCCCATGACTTCATCAGAGAATGTTCACCCTCAATGATTGGTCACTATTTGCATGTGCATGAATGAAATCACATATAAATCAGGCTAAATGAAAGTTTGTGATGAATATTTATGCAGGGTTTCCCTAAAGTCTTAGTGCTATCTTAAGCTTCAAGTAACTTAATAAAATGGCTTTAACTGGTTTAAATAAAAGGCAGGAAGACTTAGAAAGATACTCTATATATCAAGGAAACTTTTTCATAGAGGGCATTCCCTTCCCAGATATTGCTCACAATCCCTGGGTGCCCCTTTGTGGAAATACAACTCCTTTTGTGGGGGAAAAAAAGGAAAAGATAAAGAAATCACCTAGTGGCCAACCTACTGATGAGCTATAATGGATATGTCTATTGGCAGTTCTGATCTCTTTCCCCTTTGATCTCATGTATGTGTTTAGGAGCATTGTCTGCTATTCTTCTTTCTTTTAAGTCTTAAGATACCGTGGTCTCCCACAGGTTGGGTCCTTCCCAGCTGTGCATCTCCTTTTAGACTTTTGCAGATCCTCTGTCTTACCCCTGCCTGGATCTTAGCTTCTGCTTTGGCCTCATATCTGTCATTGGAAGAATAACCTTCTAGCCAGGGATGTGCTGGAGCTAACTTTTTAAACTTTCAGCGTAAGCATTTATACCTTGGAAATCTACAAATACTACAAATCAGAGCTTGATTTATTGTTTTATTGATTTTCTAGATTCAAAGCAATAGATAATATGTTAATAATTCAGATTAAACTTAAAAATGTGTTGTAGGTACATTCCTCCCCAAAAACACTGCTTACAAAATATTTATGTACCACTGCTCCTAGCTGTGCACCCACACCCACACTCCCCTGCCTTGTATCTTTGGCCCAGACTTGAAGGATTCCTGCTAGATTTCTACTTCTCTCTTCAGACTAAACTACCTGCCATCCTGTGATTGTCCACACCCTGGTCATTAGGTTTGTTATTTCCACGCACTGCAGGAAGGCTTTTATTGGGTAATTAAGCTTATTATAATGGCACTTGCAATACACTTTTGCACTAATTTTCATGGGTTACCTGGGTATGGGAGGATGGGTAATTATTTTAACCAACTACAGGCTTATACAACTATATGCAGAGACCCTGACTTTTCCAAGAAGGGCCCTAAACATAAACTCTTCAGGCTCATTTATGTCCAGTGGGGTTTCTGAACTTGGGCGTGAAGTGGCTCCTCAGGGTTTCCCAACACTTGTAATAGTTCCCATCCAAACAGTTGCATGTCTTGAGACCCCATTTGGTGACAGCCAAACTGAGCGAAGTCTCAAACATAAATGCCTGGTGAAAATACAGAAAAAAGGGGGCAGAGACAAGGGTAAATATCAACAACGGAAGTCTAAGGTATAGGAAAATAATAAAATAGCTAGCATTTACATAGCATTTTAGGGTTTGCAAAGTACTTTACAACTATTATCTCATTTTTATTCTCAAAATAATTTTTTTTGTGTGTTTGGGGAGGGAGGAGGGAGAGAAAAGAGTTTCTCATGGTGTAGGCTGAGCCAGTGGGAGCTAACCCCTGCTTGGACCAAGCCCCCTGGTCCCAGCAAGGTGTCCCCAGTTTAGAGCCTTGGCTATGATCAAGCCCAAAGGAGTACAAAAGGCAAGTTATATGTGTGCTTCGGTTTCACCCCAAAGCTGGATTCAAAGAAGTGGAAGGGAGGAGGGAGGGAGACAAACTACTCCTTACTAACCCCTCATCCTTTCCCCTGAGAAGTTCCCATCAGCTTTTTCCCATAGCCTCAGATGGCAATTTTAGATCACTCAGAACTCCATCCACCCAAATCACAGAAAAAGGAAATGCTTCTGGGCCCCATTTGCTTGAAGATGAAATGCAGCTTCCTGCCACCTTTAGCAACTCGAAGCCTGGGCTTGATAACAGACCAAATTTTGCTGACGGCTCTTATAAAGAATGCCCAAGTTCATGGCTCCCACTGGCACCTGGCTTCCAACCTTCACCAGTCTGGAAGGACCAGGAGAGAACTCCATGAATTGGAGACCATGAAATTGGGACATTCCTGGCCACACTTCACGTTCCCCCCCCAAAAAAACTTAAGTCCTGGCCAAAGAAATTTTCCTGAGCCAAAAATAAATGGAATTGAGATACGTACTGCTTTTGTCATGTTTATTGATGGGGCAGTTAGGGCAGGGGTGGAACACATTGCCAGGCCTGGCTGGCTAAAAAGTAGAGGGGTGGGGGAAAAGCTGATCAGGGATCAAGATAAAGGAACACTTCTGTGGGAGGTGTCAAGCCCAGAAAACAGAAGGCAGTTCAGGGGGAACAGTCACTGTGCAACAGAGGAGAGACAGAGATAGGGGATAGGGATAGCTCATAATCGGCAAGGAGAAATTCAACCTGAAAATTTCCTGAGGTGGGCCCTAACTCCAGAAAATAAATGAGAGAGTCACCTTCTTCTAGAAAAAGGGAGTCACCAAACTATTACTCAGTAGGAAATCAGCTTGCCTTAACTTGCGGCAGTCATCTGAGTGTCCAGGGAAAACAATCCTGGGAGGTAAATGCTGTTATTAATCCCATTTTACAGATTAGAAAACTGAGGCAGAGAGTAAGTGATTTGCCTAAGATTGCACAGCTAGTAAGTGTCTTGGGACTTGAACTGAGGTCTTCCTGACTCTTGGCTCTGGTGCTCTAGCCCAGTGGTGCCCAACTCAAATAGAAACACAGGCCACTAAACCATGTATAAGGATCCCCAAAGGCTATTGACTCAGAAAACCACATATTAACATTATCTATGTTCTATTGCATTTTTATTTATTTTGTTAAATATTTCCCAATTACATTTTCATCTGGTTCATGCTGTCATTATGGCCTGTGGCAGTGTGTCTGAAACCTCTGTTCTTGTCCCTGTACCACCTAGCTGCTATTATCCAGTGTGGCGTCTAAAACAGGGATCATGAACTTGGATGGCCAAAAAAAAAAAATCACATCTTTATTTTCAATAACCTCTCACTGAAATTTAGCATCTCCTTTGATTTTGGATGGAGGCAACAAGTCATTATTGGGAGAAGGGGTCCTTCAACTTCACCAGATTGTCAAAGGGGTCCATGATGCAAAATTTAAAAATCTCTGGTTTAGAAGGACATTTTACTAGCTGCTTCACTGTACTATTGATGTGCGTGTATTGTTGGGTGGGGGGAGAACTACAAGTGACAACTTCAGTCTTGATCAAGCCCTGAGTTCTAAAGTCAGGGAGAACAGGGTAAGCTAGGCATTTGTTGTTAGGTTATTTCAGTTATGTATTACTCTAATGTAACCACATTTGGGGTTTTATTGGCAAAGATACTGGAATGGTTTGCCATTTCCTTCTCCAACTCATTTTAAAGATGAGGAAACTGAGGCAAATAGGGTTAAGTGACTTGCCCAAAGTCACACAGCTAGTAAGTGTCTGAGGTCAGATTTGAACTCAAGATGAGTCTTGTTAGGCCTAACACTCTGTCCACTTCAGCTGCCCCAAAGCTAGGAGAGTCTTAGACAAAATGCTGGCCACTAATCACCACCCCTAACATACTTAGTAGATTTGAGGAGAGAGATGGAACATAAGCAGGGGTGTAATACAATTGACTTGAAGGGGCTGAGCCAATTGTTAAATTTTCAGTGTGAGCATTTAACACTTAAAAATCAGCAAATTTGTTATAAATCCATTTATTGTTTTGTTGGATGTCTAGAATTAAGAAAGTGATGGAGAAGATGTTAATAATGAAGATTAAACTCAAAAATGTTTCCTGTGTACATCCGCCCCCCCAGAGCTGGTTATTAAACATTTACAAGTACATCCCCGTACACCTCAGATCATTCCATGTAGGTCACGAACAGCCTGGGACAGTGTAAACGAAGTACTAGATTAGGACTCAGATAATCCTGGCTCTAACACTCTCTAGCAACATGATCTTGGGAAAGTTGCTTTCCTTTTTCTGGACTTCTGGAAAATGAGGCAGCACCGTATTGTGTGCAATGTCCTGGAAGTCACAAAGACGTGAATTCAAATCCTGAATCAGATGCTTATTGCTGTTGCCTGGGCAAGTGCTTAGCCTCAGTTTCCTCATCTGTAAAATGAAGGGAGAGAGCTGGACTTAATGGCCTCTAAAGTCCTTTGTAGCTTGATATTTACAAGCTTGTGATGCCGAAAGGCAAGGCAGTCACCTAAGTAACTAGGTAACTTCTAAGGTCCCATCCAGTTCTGACATTCTAGGGCCCTATAGCTTTCATCTATCTACCCTGGCCCTGAGGACTGAGTTTGGGTTTAGCTCAAAATGTGAATCCTATGATAAGTTTCATGGTTCAGTTCACTTGCAAAGTGAATATGTCATCAAGCAAGGCATATTGTTGTTTTTGAACATTAGATAGCACTTAACTTACTGTTCTGTTCTTTTTTTAAAAGCTAATTTGCATATGATTTAGAATAAACTTAGATCTTATAGTTAATAGACCCTACCTGCAAAAATATAATAAAATCAAGGATAGCAGCCTACTACTGCAATTATATGCAATTGAATATTCAGAGCACAGCGTACAGGAAATGTTCAACAGATTTTAAGAACCAATCGGTTTTCTTCTACACCAGAGGAGAAAGAAAAGTAATGCAAATGAAAATGTGGTTCACTAGCTCAGGCTTTGATAAGACAGGAGCTTCTGGACTCTCCTTGGTTCAAAAACATAGTCAACAGGTACCATTTTGCCTCACTATAGCCCTGGTCCTGGGAGCTTGCTTTGCCCTAAAAAAAGCCAGGGAGACAGAAGAGACTTGGACAGACTAAGTGCTCTGGGCCATGAGGAAGGGAGAAGAAGTTCAAGAAGGCCTTTAATTTAGCATTAGTTCTTTTTCTCTCTGTCCCCAACAAATAGAAACAGGACAGCTGATGGAGCCCACAGTTTAAGCTGGGAAAAGTTTCATATTCTTTCAAGACTCAGCCCTTTTAAAATATTTGGATCCTTATTCCGATCCTTCTAAAGATAAGAGGCTATATTTCTGGGGCCTGAATAAGCAATAAGTTGACTGGTTTGTTGAAATGATTTTTTTTTTACAATGGATGCTAGACCACCAGAATAACAGTTATCTATCCTATCTATCATCATGCATAGTATAATAAAAACTAGCATTTATATAGCACTTTAACATTTACAAAGATATAAACCTATAAAATATATACATTTATATATATGTGTATATATATATATATACACACACACACACACACATACACACATATATACTGTCAGGATCCAAGATCACCCCTCTCTTTTTAGAAACCTTATTTTCCAGAGCTAAGGCCCAGCAAGCAAGCTGTGCCCTGAGCTTGGCATAACAACAATCCTTTGTGCTCACCTCCTGAATGATCACTGCTGCAACAAAATTACAGAATTGTTGGTCCCTGAGCTCAGGCAAGCGCCAACCAGCCCAGACATGAAGCCTGCTATGAACGGACTTTTTGTCACTAGACAACCTTGCCTCAGTGTTGCTGTTGTACCTCACCAGTGTTGCTATACTACACTGTTTGATTCTTTATCTAGCCACAAATATATAAATTAAGGTTTAGCCTCACTGCCTCAGGCCTCCTACTAGAGATGGCCCCAACACATGTGTTAAATTTCTGTCCCCTAGCAGAATAAAGAGAGCTTTTTTGCTTTTAACCTGTGTGAGCTCTTTGGTATTTTTGGAGTTAACAGTGGTCGCAAAACCTATGTGACTCTTTGGTCATTAGCGACTAGAGAGTTGACAATATACATATATATATACATACACACATGTATATGTGTGTATACATTCATACACATGCATGCATACATACATATGTGTGTATGCATGTATATATATGACATATATATAAATAATTTGACCTTTACAACAGCCTTGTGAGGTAGGTGATATTATTATGCCAATTTTAAAGTTGAGAAAACTGAAACTCAGAGTAGCTAAATTACTCGCCCAAGGTCAAAGAACTAAAATATTCTGGAGACAAGATTTGAACAGAGGTCTTTCTAACTCCAAGGCCAACTCTCTATCCACTACACCACCTAGTGAGGGTCTCCCATGATCTCAAATTGTTATCTATACCTCTGAGCCAGTTGCTATTACCCCAGCCACACTCCTACAGAGAGATCCATCATCTACTAATCTCAGTTTGTTGGGATTCTCAGCAGGAAGGGCACCTTTCTCCTGATCTGAGACTTTATAATCAGCAACAGTTCCATTCCTTTCTCCCCTCTTTACACCCTCCCTCACCATCTTTGAAGGGTTTGTTGTTAATAACTGTTATGTTTATCATGTTAATCATAAAATGATTCTTCATTTTATTTTATTTTTCATTTTTATTTTCTCTCTTCCACTCACTCCCCAGTTCCCATTTAAAATTAAAAGAAAAAGAAAATTTTTGTAATAAATATACGTAAACAAATTTCCACATTATTCATGTCTGAAAATTTGTCTTACTCCTCTCCTGGTAGGGAGACAAGATCAAGGCAAGAAAAATGAGAACTGAAATAGTACTTATTTCTTCATGGTAAAATAGAGAAGAGGTAGAAGTGTCTCCAACCCCTCACTTTGCATATATATCATATATAGATATATGTGTGTATATGTATACAAATATACATATAATTTTATTTACATACATATCTAACATATATAAATAAAAATCAATAAACAATTTATTAAGTCCCTACTCTGTGCTAAGTACTAGCAATACAGAAAGAGACAAAAGACAGTGCAGACAAATATATACAAAGTAAGCTATATACAGAGTAAATAGGAAATAATTAACAGAAGCAAGGCACTAGAATTAAGAGGGGTTGGTTTCTAATAAAAGATGAGATTTTAGTTGGAACTTAAGGAAGCCTGGGATGTTGGTAAATAGAGATGAGGAGGGAGAACATTCCAGGCATGCAGGACAGCTGGAGAAAATGCCTGGAGCTAAGAGACAGTGTCTTGTTCATGGAAGGGCCAGTAGGCCAGTGTCACTGGATCAAAGAGTACATAGTGGCAAGTATGATGTAAGAAGACACACACACATATCTAGATATACACATATATACATAGATTTTTTCTTCCCTGTAGGTGAAAGAGGTAATTTTTTTTGCCTCATTTCTTACCTAGCCTTAATCATTGAATGGGTGTTACCTCAGGCAGACTGAGGTTTGGGAAAGATTTCACAAGAAATATAAATTTCTTGAAATATAGCTCTGGAAACCAGGCATTGATAAAGCCATTGGGATTCAAATGGAACTACTTGACTATGCCTTAAATCCAAATCACTCCACCTCTCACTGTTTGGCCAATAAGTCCCAGCCCAAGCTTCTGCTGGTCATTGTTGGGTTTTGATGGCTCAGAGTGAGTATAAATAGCAATTGTTTCATTCTGGCCAGAAACCCTGAAGGTCTTCCCCTTCCAGATTGATTTTTTTTTTGAGTAGGTAAAAGAGACCATTTTTTGCCTCATTTCTTACCTAGCCAATTGCTGAATGGGTGTTGCCTCAGACAAACTGAGACCTGGGAAAGACCTTAGCTTAAAAAGGCCAAGGATTTCCCACTGCATCTGGGACAATCTCTACTCGTCCTGATCTCTAGCTTGCCACTGGACCCACATGACTCTGAAGGAGAAAGTGAGGCTGGTGACTTTGCACAGTCCTGCCTCACTTAAATCCAATTCACTTTCTAGTCAAGACAACACCTTCCTGATGTCATTGGTCCTCTTTGAGAAAGAAGGACAAACAACAACAAACAACATATATACATACATATATACATGTGTATACATATATACACATGTGCATGTATATATATATATATATATAATGTATACACACATGCTTACATGCATAAATACATACATATACTTGTCTCTCACATTGGAATATAAGTCTATAAGCTCATTGTAATTAAGTATTATTTCATTCATGTGTTTGTATCCTCAGTCCTTAGTACAGTACTTGGCACACAGTAGGTAGTTAATAAATACTTGTTGATTGATTAATGATCTCAGGGCTTTGGGGAGACGAACGATGAAGTTGGGGCTCACTGAATGATAATACTGGGATTTAACATGCTTACCATGGTTCCATCTGCAATTCTTTCTGGCTCCAGCTTGGCCTTGCTTGCCTTCCCAAAACAATCCCCGTCTGGGCCATGAGGTGTCATGGCACTATGCAGGCTGCCTCCTCCAGACTGGAATCCTTCTTGCTTTGCTTCATAGTGCCCTTTAATTAACCCCATGAATTCACTCATGCAGTTCCCTAGGGGATTGGAAATTTGTTTTTTATAACATAAAGGAAAACAGTTATAGTGCTTGAAACTACAGTCCCAAAATACTTCAGAGAAGGGAGGGTGGGCTTTAGAGAATGAATAGAATACTAGGGAGGAAATACAATGATAAGATCCTAGCTCTGGAGTAGGAAGAACTGTGTCCAAATGCCACCTCTGATTTGTACTACCTGTGTAGTCTTGGGCAAGTCACTTAACTTCTCTTAACCTCTGTTTACTGATCTATAAAATGAGGAGTGTGGACTAGCTGGCCTCTAGATCTTTGACCCTTTGATTATAGATTACAGGGCTTCAATCCTGGAACCCAGCATTTTACTGAGGTAGGTGTGAATTTGCCCAGGACTTGGGTGTAAGATCTTAAAGAAATGAGGCTAAGCCTAAAGGAATTCAGTCTGTGGCAAGAAATTTTGATAAAAATAAAATTTGAGCTGTAACTGTACTTTTTACATTATTGGTCCAGAAACATTTAAAATTATTGATCCTGAAACTTTCTTCCCACTTGGTTTCCATGACACTGAATCTTCCTTGTTCTGCCAAGGCTTTTTGGTCTCCTAGGCTTACTACCCATCCTCCATCCCTTTTTCCCCAACTCTGGATTTTCACCTACCAACCTTTTGTCCTCAAGTCTCTTCAGTTCTATATCTTCACTCACTCATTACCGTTGTGAACTCATCTGCCTTTATAAGGCTTCAACTATCACCTCAATGGGGATGACTCATGAATCTCCACCTCCACTCCTCCTCCTCTCTAGTGTTTCCAGCTTCTTACAAGACATAGCCACCTGTCTGTCTTGTCACAATGCTATCTTATTCCTTTCTGATTTTGACCCATCACCTCTGGTGACCATCTTCTTCAAATAGAGAAAGAGAAAAAAAAAGAACAAACAAAAAAAGAAAATCAATTAAAAAACAAAACAAAACAAAACCCTAACAGCTTGTGATCCATTATCCTCTCTCCCTACCCCATCACTCTGCAGACAAGAAGCTACAGAAAAGCAGTGAGAGTTAAGGACAATTCCATAGACCCTTGGAGAGAAGGGAGCATTTAAACATCCAGGAGTCCAGGGAGTAGGGATGGTTGAGGGCACCATGACCTGTTCCTGAAGATCTTCTGAGACAAGATCTGGTATTTTCATGACTCCAGCCTTTATCAACCTCCTTTTCACCATGATTCTTCCATTTTTCTGTCCTGGACTGCCTTGGCCCACATCTTTAGAGCTCCTCTTTGGGTCATGATTCTTCAATGTATTTGACCTGATCTGATCTTAAATCTCATTTTTGCCCAACCCTCACTTACTGTTACTTTTCAGCCTTAGCTAGCTCAAATCACTTTGGCCAGTTTTTATCAACTGTTTGGAAAGTGGCTTCCCAGACCTACTATTATTTACTGTTATTCTATATACATCATCCTTAAACTTTTTGGTTTAGGACCCTTTATATCCTTAAAAATTATTAAGGAATTTCCCCACCCAAAGAGCTTTTGTTTATGTGGGTTATATCTATCAATATTTACTATATTAGAAAGTAAAACATCTTATTATTATTTTGAAAATAATTTTGACCTCAATGACCCCTTGAAAGGATCTCACAGACCCCTGGGGGCTCCAGGACCACACTTTGAGAACCTCTGCTTTTCGCCTGTGCTCTTTCCCCTGTGTCTGCAGCTGTAGATAGGAACCATAATCAGCATTATCTTCAGAAGTCCCTGCTCTCCTCAAGCCCTTCCCAGAAGGCTATTAGCTGGGAATGAAAAAGCACAAAAGCGATTTCTCTTTTTATAAGCCATAGATAGATAATTGAAGGTTTCTTTTGCTAGCAAGGATTAAAAGCTACAGAAAAGACATTTACAAGAGCCTTTTGCTAGAAGGCTACTGTGAAGTCCTAAACCTCTAGCACCAGACATGTAGCTCTGTATATGTATTGGACAAACCTTTGATTAAAAGAAAATGTTCAGGGTTAGTTTGAAAGTTTAGGTCTACTGAAACCTTTGTAAGAAGGTTGGGCCTCTGGCTTACTTAATGTGACCCTGGGCAACATCCCTAACCACTCTGGGCCTGTGGGTCCATATTTGTCAAATGAGGACATTCAACTAGATGGTTTTAGACCCTTCCAGTTCTAAATCTATGAAATCTATGAGTAAATCAGCATGGCTAAGGGTTAGTGAATCATGTGCCTAATTATATTTAGGTGTATATATTTCTTTAACCCTTGCTTTAAATTCTATGCTTTCATGATTTACTGGATCTATGATTTCATCAGTGTGGGTACTTCCTCCTACCAGATTATGTAACAACCTCTCTACGCATTTTATAAATTCCTCACATAAGAACCACTAAATGTGTTGAGGGCTCTACCTTGATTCTTTTCATATCTTAATGGAACCAACGTAGTTTTCTATTGCCTCAATCTTAAGCTGAACTCATCTATTTGTAGTGTCTATCCAAGGTATATACATATATACACACACACACATATATATATAATATACACACATGTATATGTGTATATATAGAGAGAGAGATAGGTGTATATATGTACATATATATGCATATATATGTATGTATGTATGCATATATATGTATGTATGTTAGACAGAGAGATGAACTAGCTCAATGAATGGATTGCCCACCAATGACATGTCCTAATCCAGGAGAATATAAGCCCCTTGAGGTCAGGGAGAGTTTCATTTTTATCTTTGTATGCTTAGTACCTAGCACATAGTAGGTACTTAAACGCTTATGGGATTGAATCTAGGCAATATAGGTTTTTCATCCACTTGGGTTTTCTGTGTGGATAGGTCCACGATCTCTTTTGCATAATAATGGCTTTCACTGATGAGGTTTGGTAATATCCCAGAGCTTACTGCAGTTAGTCCCATGAATGACACATCCAAATAAGAATATTTGGAAAACCTCCTCATCCACATAGAAGTCCTTTTCTGTGTGGACTCTGTGTGCAGGACCCTCTTCATGACACTGGCAGACACCTCAGGTGAGCATGTTTCCAGGGCTTATGCCTGGCTTGATGCTCACAGTCAGTGAGTTGATCAAAGCGAACTCCGTAGGTACATCTGTCATAAAATCCTGTATTATTTTAACATATGCGTGGGAGATATCTTATTTGAGGAGAACCTTTAAAGCAGTTGGATTGTATATCATCTTTTAAAATGTCATGATCAGCCATTGTTCGCTTCACAGTTGGAGCAGAGAACCCTCTTTTTATAGAGGAGGCATTTGCAAATGAGAAAATGAACTTTGACCTTTGCCTGGGTCCATCCTGCCTGTGGCCTGTGCTTCGTTGTGTGGACAGTGAGGCCATCCACTTGGTGGCAGCTTATCCAAACTTAAGTTCTCAAAACCAGAGGGAAATGTACAACTTTGCAAACCAAACCTATAAAATGCTAGCCAAAGACACATCCCCCTTCTCTCTGTGTGAGTCCTAGCAAAGTGCCAAACCTTTTTCTTCTTTTTTTTGCTTGGCTCTGCAGCGATTCTGCTCGAGGCCCTGAGGAGATGAATGTGGCAGAACCCGACAGGAGGCTGGGAGTGTGACAGCCACAGCGGGGAAGGTGAGACTCTCATCACAACTCCACTCCTTTTTTCCCCCTTAGAGAGGGAATGTAGGAAATGGAACAAGTTTTCACATAAAATTCACATGTCTAAAAGGCAGCCTTAAGAGGCACTGTGCATAATGATTAGAGAGGTAGCCTCAGAACCAGGAAGGTTCGGGTTCCCCTTCCTCTGACACGTACTGGCTGACCCAAGGCAAATGGCTTAACCCGGGGTGGGGAACCTGTGGCCTCGAGGTCACATGTGGCCCTCTAGGTCCTCAAGTGCGGCCCTTTGACTGAATCCAAATGTCACAGAACAAATCCTTCTATTAAGCGGATTTGAGGTCCTATTTGTTTTGCAAAGTTTGGATTTAGTCAAAGGGCCACACTTGTGGACCTAGAGGGCCACGTGTGCCCTTGAGGCCGCAGGTTCCCCATCCCTGGTTAACCTCTTGGGGTTCTTGGGAGCTCTCTAAGCCTCTACACTCTGACCTGCATTGGTTGAAGGAGTTTCCTTATCTTCATGTTCCCAATGACATTGAGATCCTTCTCCCTTTGAAAAAGTATAGACTCACAATGGGAAGAGAACTCAGAGATCACCTGCCCTCAATCCCACTTCAGTCTATATCCCCTCAATGATTACCTCCATAACTGATTATCCAGCGTCCACGTTCAGTGACAGTGAACTCAATTTTGCCTTATTTGACCCATTTTACCTCTGGTCAATTCAAGTCATTAGAAATTTTTTGTTTATCCTGAACTGAAATTTGCCATCCTTTATCTTCCATGCATTCGCCCTACCTTTGGTTTCTGGGGCCAAACAGAACTACCTAATTTTTCTATATGACAACTCTTCAAATATTTGAAGACAGTGATATTGTTCTCCACTCCCCACCCCTCCAGTTTTATCTTCTCCAGGTGAAATCCAAAGCCTTCGATAAATGCTTGCTTATCATAGGGCTAAGGGCCCTTACCTTTGTGGGTACCACCTAGATTTACTTCAGTTTGTCATTATCCTTTCTGCAATGTGCCACTCAAGACTGGACACGAGATTCTAGCCATGGCCTGACTGGGGCAGAGTGCCACTGGAATCTTGTCCTGTGCATTCTACTTCTATTAATACAGCCTGGGATTAAATTGGGTCTTTTGGCTGCTGCATCACACTGTTGACTCATAAACAGGTTTGCTCCTGGCTCCATTGTGCTCAGGCTGGCTGTTTGCTGTTTCAGGGAAGCCTGAAGGTCACCTTCACGGCTTAGTGGGAGAGAAGAGCAAGGCAGAAATTCTGCTCTGTTCTGAATATAAATGTCTGTGTCAGTGGGTTCAGTGCTAGTGTTTTTATGTCGCTTTTCACAGATAACAGGAAAGCAGTCCTTGCCTGTCTGATTAATGCTGAATTCAGTTAGCTAAGGTGGTTTCAGGCTACCTAGAGGCAATATTTTTATGGGAATAATTCCCCGCTTCACCCTTAAAATTATATCAAAGTTACATGGCTTTTTGCTTATTGCTATAAGAATATTTTTTGACATCTTGAGTAAAACTCACTGGTTCTGCAGTTGTAGATTTGGCTCAATATAATTACATATTTACAAAATATAATTGAAATTCATTAAAAATTGTAGGAGAAATATCTATGGTATCAATGAGCATGAGAGGCAGCACGGTCGTGGATAAAGTACTTGGAATCAAGAAGACTTGGGTTTGAATCCTGTCTCCACACTTACTAGCTATGTAACCAAGTCACTTAACTATGCTCCACCTCAGCTCCTTCATCTGTATAATGGGCCTAATAATAATAATCCCTATGTCATAGAATTGTTGTGAGGGCCAAACTCAGTAATGCTAGGTGGCCCAGTGGATAGACTGCCAGTCCTTAAGTCAGGAAGACCTGAGTTCAAATCTGACCTCAGACACTAACTAGCTGTGTGACCTTGGGCAATTCATTTAACCTCTATCTGCCTCAGTTTCCTCCTCTGAAAAATGGAGATAATAATAGCACTTATTTCCCAGGGCTGTTATATGGATCAAATGAGATAATATTTTTTAAAGTACTTTGAGAACTTTAAAGTGCTATATATAAATATGAGCTACTATGATTATTTTGATACAAAAAGACTGTACTTACAGCCAAGCTTTATTTGTTTCTTATTACCTTTTAGTAGGGCACCCAATTTTATTAAATTCAGACCTATAAACTTTGCAAAGGTCTGGGATAAGGGACAGTTTTTGCCCTTAAGGAGCTTATCATCTTGGAGGGAATTAAGATGCCAGCACAGATAACTATACATGATCTTGTGACAAATAAATTGGACAGTTGCAAAACAAAATGCTTCATGAAGTCAAACAGAGATGGTTATTATTGGCTCGGGGAAAAGGAATCAGGGAAGACTTCATGGAGGTGATGGCATTGAGTTGGGCTTTAAAAAGATGGGTAGAAATTCAACTGGTTGAGGGAGAGAGAAAGGGAAAACAAGAGGCCAGCATCTCTTCCAGAGGCACCTAGGTCTATCATCAACAAGTCAAATAAAAAGTCATTTACTAAGTGCTTACCGTTTGCTTTGCTTGACTTTGGAAGGACATGACAAGAATCAATTAAAAAAAAACTAACAAGTAGACCATTATTCTTCCTTCCTTCCCCATTTTTTTTCTTTTTGGTGAGGTGATCAGGGTTAAGTGATTTGCCCAGAATCGCACATCTAGTGAGCGTCGTGTGTCTGAGGCCGGATTCGAACTCAAGTCCTCCTGACTCTAGGGCCAGAGCTCTATCCACTGCGCCACCTAGCTGCCCCTTTCCTTCCCCATTTTCAATCTCTATCTTCTCTCTTCAGGAGACAGAAAGAGAGCAAGAGTCAAGGACAATGCCATTATCATCATCATCATCACCACCAGCACCATCATCTTCATTGCTAGCATTTACATATATTATCTCATTTGATTCTTACAGCAACTCTGGGAGGTAAGTGCTATTATTATCCCCATTTTACAGAGGAGAAAACTGAGACAGAGAGAGGTTAAGTGATTTGCCCAGGGTCACATAGCTAGGAAATGTCTGAGGCTTAGTAAGTGTCCCGTTTTCCCTACTCTTAGTCCAGAGCTCTGTCCGCTGTGGCACCTGGTTGCTGTGGGCCTTTAGAGAGGCAGGGGAATTTGACCATCTAAGATTCCAGAGAGCAGTGATGGGAACCCTGTGATCTGGTCCAGCTGGTCTCCTGAGACAAGACCTGGCATTCTCATGACCCCAGCATTTCCAGAAAATGGCTAGACTTTAATTCTAAGTGTGCTGGCCTCTCTGTTTTTGCCCCAAAGCGTGACCTCTTCACTTGGTTCATCCTTGGTCTCCTCGGTTCTCTAATGCGCTCTATTAAGTAAGAGGATTACTGTGATAATAAGGAGGTCGGAAGGTGTGTTCAGCAACTCCCCAGCGAGGTGGAAAGATGACAAAATCAGCAATAGCCACTCCAGGACGCACCGACTTAGCCGTCAACACAGTGAAAATGGACGGATCCTGTGAAAATCGAAAGAATTACCAACTTCAATAAGACAGTGATCCAACAAAATACCTGCTCTTCTCTTGCTGGATGTAACTTTTGGTTGTAGTTCACGATTTTTCCTGGATGTTCCAGTTCTCTGATTAAGCCAGGCATCCTGCCTCCACTGTGGTTCCCCTAAGATGTCTAGACCTATTGGCCTAAGTACGGCAGTGATTAGGCCTCTCTGGATTTTCCCCCTGCTATGTTCTGTAGCAAGGTGCTACATGTGAGTGAAGCACAAGCTGATTTTCATCCCATTGAGGTTGTGTCTTACAGAACATATGGTACATAACATCCCACTGAGCTGAGAACCTAGTGTTCCTCTGACCCTGCAAAATAAGGACATGGTAACTTTAAGTTAGATAGCAGGGGACAGCTGATAGCACAAAGGGTCAGTCCAGAGGCTTTGGGTGAGAAAAATTAAAATGAAAATCATATTGAAATTCTGCATAGATGAACCAATTTCTCTCCGAGGATCCCCAAGTATTTCTCAGCTCTCTTCAGAGAGGCAGGTCCTGAGAAGTGATGTATTATTTGTTTTCTTTCATTTCTTTCTCTGGTCCACAGGTTCTGAACCTGAAGTCTGTGAACTTAAAAAGTTTTTTTTTTTCTTAATAATTCTATTTCAATGTAATTGGTTTCTTTTGGAATCCTATGTATTTTAATGTGTACATCTAAAAACATTATTCTGAGGAGTTCCTAGGTTTCACCAGAGTGCCAAAGGTGTCCAAAACACACAAAAAAGTTAGGTATCCCCGCTCTGTCATTAAAAGGTACCCCAGATCACAGGCTACAGATTCATGGTAGAGGTAAGCAGAAGGAGTTTATGCTCATCCAGGGATAGCTCTACTTGAGGACTAGGTTAAGAGACATATGCATACTGAAAAGGAAATATAACAAGGGAAGAGAAAGCAAGAGGGAAAGAGAGTAAGAAGGAAAGAGAGAAAGGTCCAAATAATGATAAAGGAGTTTGACATTTTTGGACCACAAGAGATCTAGGCAAGTGCATAATAGTGAGATGATTTTGAAATTAACTAAAATGCCAACTCTTAGTCTTGTGAAAGGACAGGTAGGTGGTGTAACGGATAGAGTGCAGGGCCTGGAGTTAGGAAGATCTGAGTTCAAATCCATCCTCAGATATTTACTAGCTGTGTGACCCTGGACAAGTTACTTCATCCTATTTGCCTACAGATGAGTTTCCTCATCTGTAAAATGAGCTGGAGAAGGAAATGGCAAACCACTCCAGTATCTTTACCAAGAAAACCCCAGATGGGGTTACTAAGAGTTAGACATGACTGAAAAAGGTTGTGAAAGTTCAAATTTCATAGGATCATAACACCTATAGTTGTATAGGATCTTAGAGGTCATTTAGTCCAAATCCTTTATTTTACAAAGGAGGAAACTGAAGCCCAGAAGTGAGGAAGTGATTGGCTCAAGGACATAGAGAGAATTAGTGGTAGAGCCTCAACTGAAACATTGGTCCTTAGACTTGAAATCTAGTACTCTTCCCACTAGATATGGGAAACCCATTAAATAGGAAAAAGTAGTGAGACTCAAAGTATACTCAGCTTGATAGGGATACTCTTTTTAAAGGCTGATATATTTATTCTTTTCCCCCTTGGCATTTTTTAAAGGTTGTTATTTCTCAGACTGGTGCTTGGGTATCACAAAGATAACTGAATTAGCCTAAAGCAATTCTTCTATCTGCCCTCCTGCCTTCTGCTTTAATTATCTCTCTGTATTGCAGATTAAGTTAATCTAGTATGAGCTAGGCAACAAATCTCATTACCTCAGTGGCTGGGAACTCTCCTAACACTTTGTACTTCTCAGATACCACGTTTTCTTAGTATTATGGTTATTTGAGTCTTTTCCCCAATATTAGACTGTAAGCTCAGTTAGGGCAACGATTAAATCTAATTTCTTTTTTGTATCTTTCCAGTGCCTAACGTAGTAATGATACATTCACTATAGGAGCTTGATAAATGTTTATAGAAGAAAGGAAGAAGGGAAGGTGGAAGGAAGGAAGAAAGGATTATGGAGATGTAGCCTTGTGTTTGCTACCCTGGAGATCTATGTCATAGGTCAATGGTACTCAACAATTTCAATTCAACAAGCCTTTATTATGTTTACTATATAAGTCACGTGCTTGGTACTGTTGATACAAAGACAAAAACAACAACAGCAACAAAATCTCTGCCTTGAAAATATTTATATTATGGACTCTAGATCATTGGAGCCAGAAGGAAACTTAGAGATCACTGAATCCAACTCCCTCACTTTATAGATCATAAAAGTAGTCCAAAGAAGTGCCACATTTTGTTTTTTCAGTTTGGTGAGATTTTGACCTTATTTTTGTGAAATATACCCCAAAGTTCATGTTCTAGAATTTTCTTTGGAACTTACCTTTAATCCAAGTATTAAATTCTGTGGACAACTTATATTGCAGCTAAAAACCACTTAGGTCCTTTCTCATTGCAAGAGGATATCCAGACCAAATTATTTTCCTCCCAAAGGAAAGCATCCCTTCCACTCCCAGAGATGTTTTCCAGTTTAGGACCTACCGCATGGTCAAAGGCAACACTGTTGATGACCATAAAGTTCTCCAGATTGTATTTATAGGGAGTGTAGTTTCCATGCCATGCAACAACATTGAATGGAGAAACATCCTGTTCGGTAAATAAACAGAGATTTAGCACACATCTGTCAGTCATGCAGCTAGAGGAAAGCATAGGCACCATATCCTATTCTGTAGCCTGCTTGCCTTCTTGCTTACCTTCCTTCCTTGTTGCCTTCTTCCTTCTCTCTTCCCTTTATCTCTCTCCCTCTTTTTCCTATTTGTACTTTGTTTCAGAAACTGAATTACTATTATTATCAATAATAAATTTATATGACACTTGATGGTTTGTAAAATATCTTGCATACATTGTGTATTTTTATCCTCATAACCTTGTAAGGTTAATACTAGTATTATCCCCATCTTATAAATGAGGAAATTGAGACTCAGAAAAATTAATTTACCACAGGGCCACACAACAAATAAGTGCCTGAAGCAAGATTTGAACCCAGGTCTTTCTGATGCCAAGTCTAGCACAAAGGATAAGGAAGCTCCAGCTTGACACTAACAATGACTTGAACATGAAAAAGTGCTGTAAACACGTCAAGACATATTTGATCAAATAAGTAGACATAATGAGGACAAGGTATTTTAAAATGGAAAGCTCAAGTACTGCTCTCCGAAATTCTTTACATTTTGGATAGATTATCTATCTACTCTTTCCAATTCAACTTTCTTTCCCCTAAAATAATCTATACTATTGAATGATGGAGAAGCATCTGACTATACCCCTCCCCCTTTCAGGTAGCATTTGACTCTGGTTACTAAGTAGCAGGACCTAGCTTACTGCCTCTGGTTGAATCCCAGAGTTTTGTGTTTCCCATTTTCTTCTTTTCTCCCAGAACTCCCTAACATACAGCCATTGACAAAGGGCTAGAAAGGACTTCAGAGTCCATCTAATATGACTCTTCATTTTGTAGATAAGGAAACTAAGACCCAAAAAGTATAAGTGATTTGTGACTTAGGCAAGGATTCAAATTCAGGTCCTGTGTTGCCAAGCTTTGTGCTCTCCATTGCCCTAAGCTGTCTCATATACTTTCTTTGGACTCATAAAAGGTATTGAGTGCCCTTAGGTTCCCTAGCTGGAGACAGTCTCCTCTGGTGGTGAAATATCCTGAATGATGGACAATTCTGAAACCAAGAATCCTCTGGGCTGTGAGATTCAAATGGATGATTGGGATTTCATAAGCTTCAGTGGTGCGATAGGTGTTCATTATTTTTTTTAAATCTACCATCCTATTTACTTGCCAGGAAGCCAGGTTTCCTTACTTGGCTGAGTGTTTGCACCTCTGTGTGCTCAATAGTACTAAAATAACCTGGGGCATCTGTGATGGTACTCAGTAACTTGAATGATTGGACCATAGTGTTTGAGGACACACCCAAACTGTTTGGGTCAATGGCTTTAGTTGTGGTGTTAGCCAGACATGCCTTTTGGATTCAGATTATAGATTCATTGTCCTAGATCTTACCAGAGGTCTCATGAAATTAAGTTACAGATCCTTCATCAGTCATAAATTAGCAAATATTTGCCGAATGCCTACTATGTGTTCAGCACTGTGCTAGGCGCTGGGGTTGCAAAGACAAAGTGAACAGAAGATGCCACCTTTGTTTGAACCAACTTCTAAACTCTTGTTAAGGAATAGCCTTTTAGATCTTTCAACACATTCTTTTGAATATCAGAATGATGTCATATCTTTGTTTTCCCAAGATAGATTTGATTTTTGACAGCCAAAAGTCCATTCAGAGCTAAATCTGATGAATGGAATAGCTAATCATATTGGGTAATACCATTTTTGATTAAAAAATGAGGTGTGACTAAAATACATTAGCATTTTACACATTGTTTGCATTTTGGTTACAGAAGACAGATGATAAAACACTCCTTTTGATAGAGACATTTATAGGTGCCAAGTGTTTGAAATGTTGTCAGAAGAAGATGCTACATTGGCTTGTTTTTATTTGTTATTAATGAAAGTTATATGATGGTAGAGGAAATGCCCAAGTATAAAAAACAAAAACATCAATAAAACATTTTGAAGTGAATTGTTATCTCCCCAAAATGAGATGTGGCATAGAAATGATGAGACTGATTTTCTTACGTGGTTTACAAATGGATTCTGAAGGAAAGTTCCAAAGAGGCATTTTAAAAATGTCCTATGTAATGGCAGCCTCATTGGAATCCATATATCAACTTCCAAGATGACTTATTTGAAGAGGATAATTCTTAATATCTTCTAGCAGGATTGGTGGTGCAGTGGATAGAGTACAAGGCCTGGAGTCAGGAAGACTTATCTTCCTGAGTTCAAATCTGGCCTCAGGCACTTACTAGCTGTGTGACCCTGGGCAAGTCACTTCACCCTGTTTGCCTCAGTTTCCTCATCTATAAAATGAGCTGGAGAAGGAAATGAATGGCAAACCACTCCAGTATCTTTGCCAAGAAAACCCCAAATGGGGTTCACAAAGAGCGGGATACAATGGAGCAACAAATTCCTATTTGGATGTAAACTTATGCATTCTAGGATGCTGGTTAAAAAACTAGTCATCACCTAGTTATAGTTTTGTTTAGTACTTCATCACCCATAATTTAAAGAGTTAAATTTCATGGAACAGACTATAAATTTTATATACATTGAGAGAAGGAAGAAAGCAATGAAGACAGGATGTTTGATGAAGGAAGTTGAACCGGGAAGGACAGTCTGTTAAGATAGGGAAGGGAAGGGGCAGCTAGGTGGTGCAGTGGATAGAGCTCTGGCCTTGGAGTCAGGAGGACCTGAGTTCAAATGTGACCTTAGACACTCGACACTTACTAGCTGTGCGACCCTGGGCAAGTCACTTAACCCCAATTGCGTCACCAAAAAGCAAAACATATATATATATATGGGGGAAAAGGAGTGTATTTTAGGCAGAGAAAAACAGCAAAGATAAAGTAAAGAAGTAATAATGAGCATAGCTTATTCAACATGTGGTGGATAGTGGTGTTACCACAATCATGGTAGAGGAGCAGTTTGAGCCATGGAAACAAGAAGTTCCTAGTTGTACTCAATAGCCCTAACAAAGGCATTAGCATTTCTCCTATGTCGAATGCGTTTGTTATTTATTCTCTCTATCTATTCTTTCTAAAGGCATCTTCTCTGTCTTTAGGCATAGACAAAACCAGGGATAGGCCAAGCCTCTGGTGTTTCTAAATTGGGTTTTATTCTGTGGGCCTTGAAGTAATTGTGTTGGAAGGAGGGAGAGAAAAAAGAAGCCAGGTAAAGCTTCCTGGTGGCAAGATATTGAGGATCTGAGGAGCCTTCCAACCTGACTCACTTTTCCTGTGTATTTTTGTGTTGCTCTAGGTTGTAGGCGTCTCTCTGAGAAAGTCTTTTTCATCAGGCTGATAGTTCCATGAGGTCTTAGGCACAGAACATACAAAAGAACTGTATAACGATGACTCTTGAGTTACAAGGGAGCTCTTGGGTATGCAAAGAAGCTTGGAGAAGTAATTTCATATATACATATATACACTTAATATTCTTAGAATATTCTAATTCAAGTCAATTAAACAAGCATTTATTAAATACCTATTATATTCAAGGCACTATGTTATAATTAAAGGGTTGCCACAGACTCTTTAGGAGTTTGAAGGGGAAGCTAAGTGGCATAGTAAATATGGTACTAGGTCTGGAGTCAGGAAGACTTGAGGTCAAATCTGCCTCAGATATTTCCTGGTCTCATCTGTAAAACGGAGATAATTTTAGCAGCAACCTCCCAGAGTTACAGTGAAGATCAAATGAGATAATTGTAAAGTGCTTAGCACAGTTCCTGACACATAGTAAGAGCTATATAAATGTTAGCTATTATAATTATTGAAAAGACCTCGATGGGCCATGTAGGTCATTACTAAGAATCTTCTCTCACAGCATTATCAACAAGTATAGTTATCCCTACCACATCGTGGGGATTAGGGGTGTGGCATTCCCACTATCTAGAAAATCCGCATAAAATTTTTTGGCCCTCCCTTCATACCAGAGAAGAAGTCTGAATTTTTTATTTTTTTGTTTACGGGGTGTTTACAGTACCTTATTGTAAAATCTGGATTACGTATTCGGTCATCGGCTATATGTAGATCAACATTAAGTAAAAACATGTTTTCTGTGTCATCAGTTGGCCTTCACATGTCATCTGCGGCTTCGGCAAAACTCCCCCAAAATTCCCATTTAATTTCTTATGCTGACCCGGGATATATCAAAACTGTGATGGGGGAAATCATGACGCGGGAAGGATAGCTGTAGTCATCCATCCACTACTTAATGATCTCCAGAAGTGAAAAGCCTGCCACTACTCTATCTCACTTTGCAACACTTCTAATTATTAGTAAAATTTCCCGCTTACATTCATCTCAGATCTACCTCAATTCAAACTTCTACCCATTGTCCCCAGTTTTGTTTCCAGTGCTTCAAATTTAAATCTTCACAGGAGACCTAAATATTTTTTTTTTTAAGAAGCCTATAAGCAAAGCTTCTTCAAAGGTATTCCCTAAGCTGTCTCCTGCAAATAGAAAAAAAATTGCTTGAATGTCAGGAATGTTTACCCAGGGACGAAAGTTCAGGGCTTTGGTGCCAAATATAAGCATTTATTGTCTGAAGGAGTCTCTTGAGAAGGGAGGCCTAGGTAGCTAGAACTGCTTCAATTTGGGGAAAGAACCAGACATAGCCAGACATGAGAGGAAGTGAGATAGTATAAAAAAAGCACCAAATTTGGAAACAGAAGCCTGGAGTACCAAGGCCTTGCAACAGCTGTGTGGCCCTGGGCAAGTTTTCAGACTTTTTCTGCTTGGCTACAGAGGGCAGAATTAATGCCAAACGGGTAGATAGATATTACAGAGGTCAATTCTAGCTCAGTATAAGGGGAATTTCCGTATTAGAGCTGTCCAAACAAAGGAATGGACTGCTTTGAGGAGTAGAATTTACTACAGATCTTCTGGCAGAGGATCCCTCATGGAGGCATTAGAGACAGGATTCATGATTTAGGAAGGGGTTGGATTGGATGACCCCTGACCTCCCGTTCAGT